ATGTTTTTTTTTTGTTTGTTGTTTTTGCATTGTATATCGGATAAACGATCTACGAAACAGCAAGAAACACCACCCCCTCCCACACCCCCCTCTGACACACAAACACAAACTATTGTAGTTTAGCGTTTAAAGTACGTAGCACATTCAGACAATACCAGCAAATGACAAAAAAACAGAACGATATTTATATAGAAGGCATATATACAAGCATGACATGATGATATATACAACCATATATAGTATATTCACGTATATATATACATATATATTGATATTGATATAAAAGAGCACGTGACAACCGTTGCTAGATGTAGTACAGTGCGGACACACACACGATACGATACGGTACAGAGAAGAACGAGAACAACATTTTTTTAGATGTGTTTACACAGACAGCAGCAACAGCAGCAGCAGTAGGATAGGATAGGACTACTCCTGAAAGAAGGAGTAGCCAAAAGAGAGCAATTCACGTTTAGCTAGAGGTTTATCGTAGATCGTACACAGATCGTACTAAAAATCGATCGATACTTAAGCAACTTAAGAAACTTTCTGTAGCACACACCCCACACACCAAACACACTTCTTACACACCCATGCCTCCACTGGAGGATCAGGAGCAGGAGCAGGAGCAGGAGCCGGAGCCCCCTCTGGCTGTATTTAGGTTGCGATTTCCGTGTGGCATGGGGCACGGATCATCGCTTAGGGCACGATTACTAAGAACTAAGAACAGTTTCCAGTTTCAGCAAGCAACTATAAAAATTTGTTGATTAATTTTATGTTACGACGAGGAAAAGGAAAACAGAGACGAGAGCGGGAACGAGAACGAGAACGAATCTTAAATATGTATATCTACGAGTAACGAGTAACGAGTAACTTTAGCAAGGAGGAGCCATTGTGTCATTTTTTTTTTGTCTTAGCTGTAGGTCAGAGGTAGGGTAGAGTAGAGGAGGACTCTCTCGTACTCAGAAGTATGACGCTCAAAGCGCTTTCGGTTGATGGATCGAATCGATGAATGAATGAATGTAGGTGGAGAGATGGATAATGGATTATGGATGATGGATGATAGATGGACGGGGCAAGGATATAGCAACGCATATGAAAAGTCGGTTTTAAGTGTTAGTTTCTAATTGAGGGGAGTGCAAGTGCAAGTGCAAGTGCAGGTGCGAACGAAGGGCAAAACTATATATATACATATGTATTATGAAAGCTAACAAATGATATATATACTTACTATTTATATTTCTATATATATACACGATATTAAAGAGCAGTCAATGGTTTTTTGGTTCCAGTTCCAAGAGAAGCAAAGTGTCAGTGTCAGTACCAGTGGCAGTGCCAGGGTCTCTCCCCAGTGTCTGTCCCAGTGTCAGTGTCAGTGTCAGTGTCAGGATCTAACTAATTATTGTTTCTGGCAGTTTATGTTCTGTACCACCTTTGTACCGCCGAGCATTACGAGTATATTATTATATTGTATTGTATATACGTGTACGAGTATTTGTGCAACAACTGATTTCCAGTCACTTAGTCACTTATCCAGAGCTATATGTTTTCTATATGTGTGCCAAAGTATTACTTACGCTAGTCCTATGATGTATCTTAATTTCGATATGTTGATTGTTTGTTGCCTAATTTCTAATCCCACGCAATCCGATGCAGTGCAATATACGTTTACCATTAACAAACCTTTTTGACTAATTTGTGACTAGTTTATGATTAGCTCTAAGTTTTCCAAACGAGTACGAGTACGATATCGAGACCACATTCCCCATTCCTGCTTGCAAGGCGAGTCGAGGCGAGGCGATAGTTTTCCCCATTTTCCGCACTCCTTTGCACCTGGCCAACGTGTGTATAGTACGTGTCGGTTAAGAAAGCTGCGTCAATTTGTAAACGGCTTTTGTAAATATACAAGAAATACATACATACATATACATATACACACCAGAAAACACTTGAGAGTACGGCTCATGCGTATGCATGCGAGTCAGTACGATTTTATTTGCAATACAACCTTTAAGCATAAGATTTCAACTTCACATAGTACGAGTAGCAGAGTATACAGATCCATCTGTTGCATCGGGAACAGGCAACAGCACCCTATAACAATAGCATACCATTCCAAACCATACCACATTGCCCATACTATACCATAGCGATGTATTTGAGGCTTCCGTAGCAGTAAAGAACGAACCAACACCAACCATAGTAGAACCTCAGGGGGAAACGGATATCTGCCATGCTGGGATCCACAGGTTCCCAGAAGACAGCACCGCACCCCACAGCACACATCCGTTGTTCTCCGATGAGTGTTGATCAAACATTCGTTTCCGTTTCCGTTGTGTATAAATGTAACCTTGTACTCTAACTATCTCTCTCTTTCTATCTATGGCACCCAAATAGTATCTGATATCTGATTAATTCAAAAAAGTGCAGAGCGAACACATAATTAAACACGATGAACAGCAACAAATTTAACAAACAGAAACCCTAAAACCAACCAAAACAACAACAAAAACAAAAACAACAGCAACAAATGAAACAAAGAAAATGTATTTAATAAAAATAAATATAAAAATTTCCAAAAAAAAAGGAGTCATATATTTTTCATATTCCTAAAAAAAGGATACAACTACATTATTTCGGGGCAACAGTTGTGGCAGTCGGTAGTTTTCTGAAAACCAAAAAAGTTGCCACAACAACAACAGTAGGTCGGTGTCCGATCACGAAAAGACATACCACGTCCATTTCGACTGCCATTCAGCCGAGATATACAGAGATATACACATATTTCCAACAAAATATCATTGAAAATTATTGCTTTCCAAAAACCCTTTTGCATCCGCTGAAACCAACCTTCAAATCACTCTTTCGACTCTTCTGAAACACACCTCTGTTTTTTTGGGGGAAATATCAAACTACGATGTATCTCACGAGAAAAATTGTTCTTAGCGGCCAACTATTCATGCAATATTACATGTATCTTGATCGCGTTAACACCCAAAAATGCCTCACTTTTCCGGTACAGCTTAATGTCCTTTTGGAACATGAATTTAATCCGAGTCCTATACGAACAGGCAGCCGAATCGATTCTGTGGGATTCGGTATTCGCTTCGTTTGGTCAGTTAGAAGCAGATGTTCTCATTAGTACCGGGCCAGATTGTAAAATTTCTGTTTTTTTTCGCGCTCACTCTCCATTTGATTTTCTGGTAGAGAGAATGAGAAAGCAACACTCGAGCTTGCTAGTGTTTTGCTCTTTCTTCTGTCTGTTACGTGCGTTTTCTTGCCTTACGCTGAAAAAACTGAATTTCAGATTCAAGAGAAAAATATTCGTTAAACATTTTGTTCAGCACAAAAAAAGCAAAATGTGCATACCTGAAGGCACACCACTCGAACGTAGTATGTTTTAAGTCATTGCAGAGACTGCGAACGAAATTTGCTGAATCCTACTAAAGGATGTGCTCGTAAAGCATGAGTATATCTGCTATTTTATGAATACTGTAGATTCGTGCGGGGATAATTCCGTCCCATAGTAACTACAGAGTCGGGCAAACAGGGCTTGTTCGCAGAAGGACCTATTTACCAGGATCGGGAGGTTCCCATGACGCCAATCGGTTGGCAGGACTCCCTTTGGGTTACGCAAAGAGATGAAAAGAAAGGAAAAAGGACAGAAAAAGAAAAATTACAGATGAAATCAGACGAATGGGCGAAAATGGGTAAATTTCAGATCCATTTTTCAGTTCACTTCCGTTTAAAGAGCCTTTCCATCGGGACTTTTAATTGACCAGTAAATTTATTCGATAAATGAAGCAATTTTCTATAGGATTGGGTAATTTTTAAGGTAGTTCTATTGCATTATTTTTAAATATTTTACACATATGTAGACGCTTAGTGGAAGGGGCAGTATAAAAAACCTCCGTAATCCGCGCTTCACATGACTTTTTTGCGACATTTTTTTTTTAAATTGAGTTATTTTATGTTAATCAATCAGAAGTTCGATGCTGATCCCTATTGGAGTCATAGCTGGGGGTCGCATTGGCATTTATACGTGATTTTTACATTCCAGAAAGCATGAGTATGCCATGCCCAAAAGTATGCCATGTTTTAATAAACGTGGAATTGCTTTTTTGCCATGTGTGCCATGATAAAGAAATTGCGTTAAAAATGCATTATCCTTACTTTCCCTGATGTCAATCTGATTTCAAGCGATCGGGGATAGTATACCGATCAGGAAAAGGTACAACATGTCCAGATCGGACCAGAATCTGCAGAGTTATCATATATTTGATCAGCAGAATCTGAAAATCAAATATCTCGGTTTTGAGCGCCACCAAATTGAGGGTTTTTGTTCTTAGATATTGGTGGATATGCTTTATATTTAAGTTATATGGCATAGCTCTGACGTTTCTTGTCCGTCCTGGTTGAAATCATCATTGGGAAACGAAATATTCAGTCACAAATGATCTGCATAGATCCATAGAATAAATTATGCATTTAATATTTAATTATTCAATTACGGCAAGCTCCAGTGCCATAAAATGCTCCTACAAGATTCACAAATCTCTATATTTTAGTACAGGAGTAACAAAGTCCCCAAGAAAAAAATAACTATAGAAGGTATGCGGTAGAAACTATGCCGTAAAAGCTATCAAATTGTACCGGAGATGGGGGGGTCTCATCTTTGCCATGATCAGGACATGATCTCGGTACAAAAGGCTATTTATATATAAATTTTGTATTTTATTTTATTTAATCGTTTTCGCATATTGGTTTCGTATAGTATATGTATACTCGCGTTAATGGTTTGTTTATGCATACTCATATAAAGTATTGTATATATAAAGTTGGTTTGTAATAAATTATAAGCAAGTCGGCTGCCACCGCACTCGCACTGGAAACACGAAGAATTATATACAACAGGGTTCTCGAAGAGTTCACATTACGTACACAGTATAAATTACACATTAATCGCATTAAGTACAGGCTTCAGGCTTCATGTGAAGTTTCAGCCGCAATTTCAATTGGTTGGCGTTTAGAATTAATTCGTTGATAATGGGGGCGGGGGGCGCTAAGCAAGCAGCAGGACATTGACGTGCGATTGGGGGCATTAGCCGACGATCGTCGGAAGGGGGAAGGAGTGCCATGTGTGGCTATGTGGACACTACAATAATAATTTGGTCTGCTCTGCACCAGATCGTTGGTGTGTGTGGTGTGTGGAGTGGTTGGCTTCCTTAGATGACCGCCTCGATGGCCGCTCCGCCCTCGGCGTTCTTTTTGATCAGGCTCTCCCACTGGGCGATGAGGCGGTGCGACGAGGGGGCCTCCTCCGGCGTCAGATCACAGAGCTGGGCCAGCGACATGGCCGGACGCATGCCTCCATTACAGCTGGCACTTCCATTTCCATTGCCATTGCCATTGCCACTTCCATTGGCCATTATGTAGGCATAGCCGCAGGTCATTCTTTGTGAATTGTGGACAATCTCCTGCTCATTTCTGGAAAAAGGAAATACGAAGCACCATTAGACTCATTTCGATCACATGATGGACGGCGCACTACTCACCCGTTTCTGTCGAGCTCCTGCGTGGACTGGGCATTGCGAAGTTTTCCCGGGCCATAGCAGTGCTCCTCCTCGGAGTCCTCATCGTCATCCGCCTCCGCATCGGCCTCGTCATCTGTGCTGAATATTCTGTGGAACGGAATGAATTGGATTGGTCTGGATTGAAGATCAGTCCCTTAGGAGTGGGCAGTGGCTACTCACAGCTTGTCCTGCGAGGCCCTGAGGGTGTTCTGCCTGTTCAGCTTGCGCAGACGCTTCAGCTCGGACTCCCGCGACTTGAGGTCCTGCAGCTCGCGCTGTATCTTCTGCTCCACGGGCACATAGCCGCGGCGCAGGGGTCGTCCCTCCGAGTCCCGCTCAATGGCCGCCGGCGACAGGGTGACCGTCGGCGAGTTGTTGCCGCCCGTCTCCAGGAAGGCCAGCGCGTTCTGGGCGTTCAGCTTGAGGGTCGTCTGAGTGCTGCCGTTCACGTTCCCGTTCAGGTTGCCACTGCTGCCGTTGGTCAGGGTCAGCGGGGAGGAGGGGCTGCTCATGGGGCTGCTGGGACCCACCTTGCCGTGCGAGGCGATGAAGCGCTGCATCACCCCCTTGGTGGAGCCGTTGAAGGCGAACTGCCGTTTCTGCACTCCGTTCAACTGCGGCGTGGAGATGGTGCGGGTCATCAGCTTCTGCTGCGGCGGCTCCGGGGTCAGGTTGTAGCAGTTGGGGCCGATGTAGCGCTGCTCCTGGCGAGACACCACCGTCAGCTTCAGCGGCTGCAGCTGCTTCACCAGATTGTTGCTGTTGTTGTTGTTGTTGTTGCTCTGGGAGGAGGCCGAGATGCCGGAGTCGTCCGAGTGCTGGCCGTCGAGGCTCTCCTCCTTGGTGCTGTTGACGCTGGACGCCAGAGAGGGTGTGTTCGAGTGCTCGTCGATGGGCAGCAGCAGGGCCGTGGTCTGTACCGCCGCCAAGGCCGGCTGGGCCGTGACCAGAACACCCCGGCCCTGGTCCTGCTCCTCCTCATCCTCGCCCAGATCAAGCAGCTGCTCCTGCCCCTGCGGCTCCTGATCCTGACCGAAGTCGTTGCCGTTGCCATTAATCGTGTACGTCTCGAATTCGTCCACCTGAATGGGTGGCGGGGTGGCAGCACCACCCCCGGTGGAGGAGAGCGTGGCCAGCTGGCGGTACTCCTCCTCGCGTCTCACCACTTCCTTGATCTCCTCCTGAATGCGTGTCAGGGGATCGATTTTCTGCAAGCAGCAAAAATACAAAAAATAAACGAAAAAAGTCTTTAGTCAACGGGTTCGTCATGGATGGGTGAAACCCGAGATGTGCGACGACCTCCGGCAGGAGGAAGTGTTCGTCCGATCGGATCGCATCGGAACGGATTAACCGTTAACCAAGCGAGTGACGGATCGATTCGATCCGATTCGATTCGTTGCGATGTGTAATCGAATATGCCGCAAACGGGTGCCGATCGGGGGGCAGGCGTTTCTCTGTCGCCATTCACTTTCGGTTCAATTCAGTTCAGTTTAGATCGGATCGGATCGGATCGCTTTGGTGCAAGCTTCGGTGGATGTCACACACGCACCCGCACCCGCATCCGCAGCATCGAAATCGAAATCGTGTCTGAGGGCTGCAACTCTTTGAGGGAAATCGGAGGAGCCTAATCCCCGATATGATGCTTACACAATCCGCAGACCACACGCGTCGAGTGCCAGGGAGTGCCAGGGAGTGGAGGGAGGTGGGGTCTATAGGGTGGATCGGAGCGTAACCCAAGCCAACCGACTATTGTGCGTGACATCGCCATCGACAGCAGAGTTTGCTGTTGGATTGCTCGATGGACGGATGGATGGATGGATGGATAGATGGATGGATGGATGTGTGGATAGATGGATGGCTTGGGTTAAGTGGGAGGTTCCTCGCTTGGTTGGTTCGTTCGTTCAGTTTCAAAATACTAAACCCAAAACCCGAACAAAACCCAAACACAAATCGAGAGTAAAAGTGTTTGAAAGTCTCACTTTCAGGCTTGTTTTTCCATTTTGTGTGGCTTTTTGTTGCTGGCTTTTGTTAATTGTTGTTTCTGCTTTTATGTGCCTTCCATTGTTGCATAAATTTTCGCATTTGCTGTCAAGTTAACACGATGTTTGTTGTTGTTGCAACACAATACAAAACATTCGTATATTGTATATTTTGTTAAACATCTCTTTTGGCAAATACTCGTGGCATGTGGCATGTGGCATGTGGCACACGGCATGGAAATACCCCATCAAGTATTTCTGGATAATATGCATTTTCCGAGAACAAAGAATAAATCTCTTAAGAAGAGTACAGTGAACACCCACGAATGGCGCTCAATTGGAATGCCGTTTTCTTCGAGTGAAAGTTTTCCTCAAGGAAATGACTGGGAAAATATAACATTCCGAAGCTCGAATGCAATATCTACTCGAACTCTCAATTGAAATTGTAATCTATCAACCATTTTTACTGTCTGTCAGTGGGAATCAATCCCAGAAATCGTTGGCCATGAAAGGTTTGTGGCTTTAGATCGAGAGATCTACAATTGTCAAGATTCTTTGAATTTGCTGTTCAACCAAATCGATTAGGTCATAATTATTTGATGGCTCTGATTAGCAGGAATGTCTGTAGATACTCGCACTTGTAGTACCTCTGCGTAATCTCGTGCTTTGAGATATGGCTTTCTGTTGAATGCCACTCTAATTGACCGAAGGGGCAGTGCCGTGCGGATTGCGGAGTGCAGAGTGCGGAGTGGGGATGGAGGATCCTTTCTTTTCTGGGAAAATGCAATTGAAGCTGCTCCCTCCCTCTCCCTGTGCCTCGTTTAAACTTCCATGTCTACTCGCACTTCCCGGCATCCAACCCCCTCTTCAGCCCAAGAGCCATCTTTCACACAGCAATCAGCATCCATTTGATGGCTAAATACTTCCCCTGCAGTCGGACTCCTAATTCAAGCCCTTACAGGGGGTCTCTACTGGGGTTTGCTTGGGGGAGGGGAGTGCTTTCTGCTCTTGCGGGTCACTGCGTTCGGGCTCTGCCGTTCTGAGGGCGCTTAGGGTCTCCCAGGTCTCTGACTTCTTCCATGTGGGTGCGTTGTCGCCCAGTTGTTGCCGCCGCTGTGGCTTCCGCGTTGTCGTCGCTGTCGCTGTCGCTGCCGTTGCCGTCACATTAGAAAGTGCCGCGACAAGTGCCCCGCCATGAGCAATTGTTGCCTCTTTTGTTCCGTTTTGTTGTTGTTGTTGTTGTTGTGTCACTGCTACCGCTGCAGTCACTGTTCGAGTCGAGGGCGCAGTGATTGTCACTGTCCGTGTCAGCGCCCCGATCCACCGTGGCCCATCGATTCGATGCAGATTTTCACTCAATTGTTTGGGGCAGGCCGGGGCCAGCAGAAGCAGCGGCACAAAACACCGAATCGAATCGAAATGTGCGTTTAACGACGTCGTTTTCACTTGCCGCAAACAGATAAAAGCAGAGAAAACCAGAAAGGAAGTCCGACTGTAAGCCCCCGAAGCGCCGAAGCATTGAATACTCTCTCGGACTGCAGACTGCGCCCCAAGGCTGTGGTCAGAAGCTGCTCTAAAGGTCACGACCCTGATATTCCTCAAATGGAGTTGGATTCTTTCAGAACTGCCAGATCTAACCTAATCTCTGGAATAATACGAGTGTATGTATATGTTTGCATTCCTTGTGCATAGAGTCTCGTGTGGTTGCTTTTTGGTAAAATGATATTAACCTCTGGCAAGGCAAGGGTATACAAAACACACACCAAAAAAACACAAAAAAAAACAACAACAACAAATAATAAGCAACGAAAAACTTGTACAAAACTTCCGTTTTGTGTTGGCCACAGCCACAGCCACAGCCACGGCCGCCGCTACTTGTTGCCGCCGTCCAAGTGCAATGACAGCGGCAACATTAGCCGCAACAGCAACAACACGAGCCCCAGTGGGAGCCACCATCGGCGGTGGCAGCTGGCAGCCGAAAGTCAGCTCGACAGCTGCTCCTCGCCCGCCTGTCACTTTTGGCGCGCGATCGCGACGTCTGCCTGCTTTCCCGTTTCCCGTTTCCCGGTCGAAATGTACCGCAACTGGAAATGCAAATGCCAATGCAAATGCAAATGCAAATGCAAATGCAAATGGAAGTCAAAGTCAAAGTGGAAGTGGAAGTCAGAGCCCGAGCCTGTGCTTGCCACATGCCACATGCCACATTCGCCGGGGTCAAACCTCCCATGGGCCGCATGAACAAGCGGCAGGTGGGGCAGGGCAGCCAACGGCACAGGGAGCGATACAAGCGCGACAAGACGCTACTACCACAGAGAGCACGGACCCCTGGCCACAAATTGTTGCCTGCTGCCTGTTGACAAGATCAGCAGCAAAAGAACAGCCAACAGCCACAACAGAAGTACTCGTCCACCGAAGGCAAATTGGCAAAACGAAGAGACGAAGAGACGAAGCGACGAGCATCAAAACAACAAAACAACACCCAAAGACCCACTGCGGAGTGTCCAGACGGAACGATACCCTGTTTTTCCACTCCGTTTTGACCACTCTCTCTCACACATTGAGTACTAAGAATGCTATGACATGTAAAAATCCATTTTCCCCATCTCTCTGTTGCACTCAACAAGTTATTCTAAGCCATTTCCAATCTTACGCTAAATTACCGAACATCTAGGATTTTTAATTTGTATAAAACGAAAACTTTCTAGAATTTTAGATCTTGGTATTTACAAATGTTTCGAGGGTTTTTAGGCCACACAAAATCGCTGCATTTCGGCATTTTTGATTGAAATTCATTCGAAACATTCAAATGTATTATTTTGTTCAGTTAAAATGAGTTCTTCCTGCACTAGTCTGGAATTTCGCAAGTGGTCGAGAAACAGGGGCTAACAATGATCTTCTTAAACAGAAGTGGAACTGGAAATATTGAGAACAGAAACCACAAGAAGCACAATCGAAGGTCTGAGAGGGTTCAGTCAGCATATATACCCCTTCATTCTTGGACAGAATTAATGGGTACGAAATGCGAAGCAGAATGAAATGAAGAAAGAAACGAAAGAAACGAATGAAGAAAGAAATGAACAGCAACAACAATGGGTGAACGTGACAAGAAACGTGACCGTGACTCGGGCTCCCTCTGCCTCACCGCCCGCTCTCCGATCATTCTTCCATTCCCTCTCTCTCTAGGCACATGTAGCCATCTCCCTCTAGCAGCTGATCCAAATACAAAGCTGGTGCTCTGCTGCGGCTCTGCTCTGCTTGGGTGTCTGCTGCTGCTGCTCTGCTGCGCTGCTGTGCTGCTGTCGTTTCCAGGCGAGCGATCAGCATTAGCATAACGATCATCACTAGCTCCCATCATGATGATGATCACGCCGATGATCGTGTAGTATAACACACGTATTTGGGCCAATTCGTTAAGCGTTTTCCTCAGTGACCACCGCCGCAGTTGCAGTGGCAGTGGCAGTGTCGGTTGCAACTGAAGCGTGCAACAGAATAAATGGGAATATGCAAAAGAGGGGCGTTGCCAAAAAATATTGCCATTTGGGTCATCCGTCAAGGGGCAGGGACAGAGGCAGGGACCACCTCAATTTGAATCCAACAATAAAGTACATACCACCCGAAGATGATCGTGTTAAGCTGCAGGTTAAGTCATCGGCATGACTGGCCTCACTGTCATACTCGTCCTGTTATACATTTTTTGGGGGCATGGTTCTCGGCTTCAAAGAAAGACGTAAACATTTCGTTGCAGAAATCCAAGGGGTTCCACTCGCATATACCACGTTCCACCATCAGGAAAGTTCTTCCAAAAACGAACTCAACTTCCAAGTTATACTTCTGTTATACTTCGAGATAAATAACACATACTATTGTAGCATTCGCTGGTATACTTCCGCAGGCTTCCACGATGATATGAAAGTGAAAAATATCTTCTTTACATTGAACCATCATATGATCAGCAGATACTCCTCCAAAAAACACTCGAATGTTGAAAAGTAATCAAAAGAAACCCCATTTCGATCATTGCAGACACTGCCATCCATAGCTCTAGAACTTTTGCTCGAACAACTCGAGAATGGAATTATCTGCAAGTACAAGTACAAGTATTTGGCCAATGCCATTACCTTTTTTGCTCAACTTTTGTGCCGTTGAGCGTTACCGCTTCCCAGAGCCAGCAGCAGAGCCACGATCTGATAGACCTAGTTTTTGTTGTGTTTTTTGTACAAGAATCGTGA